GACGGGTAGGAAAACTATATAATAGTGACTTACACTTCCTTAAGCACTTTGCAATTTTAGACTTCATCACCCATTATTTTCTTCTCTTTATTTTCAGCACTATCTTCAGCAATTATTTCACAAGTAATTCTCATCATCTCAAGAATGTTTCAATCTTTTTTTTAGAAGTAACTTTCATAATAGCCACCCTCAACTTACGTATTTTACATGCATTAAGGTGCACGATGTCTTTGGAAGGAGGGCCATCATCAAGGAAACTTCTTTTTTTTCATGTCACATTCTTTCAAAGAAGGCCTTTTAAACACTTTGTAGCTATCATTGATCACCTTTTACACTCAACCATCCTTTTTCTTCAGAATTGATAATTAGAATAAGTCTATGCTATAATGCTCAAGCTATGCTATAATGCTTAAGGAAACAAGGTGCAAAAATTAAGGATTCTGGCTACCAACAAAAGGCTACAGCCTCAAAAGGGCTAACTAGTGATATAATATCTGAAAAGGTTAAAATTTACCAGACAAATCAAAGAAAGCCTATTATCATCTCCTAAACAAAGCAACACTTTTTATTTCGCTTCAATAACATGCAGGGCAAGTTCTAGACTAAGATGCAAAACATGGAATAAACAAATTCTCACCACACATGGCACAAGTATCAATCAAGATGGATCAATTCCACTTCTAAGAGAGAAAGGATCATAACAAACTACAAAATAAAATAAATTATATACAGAGTCACAACCATGAGCTTAGGTGTTAAAGAGTCTGCATTTTTTTTATCTAAGCATTCACAAGAAAGTACTACTAAAAAATTAGACCTAAATAGCAAGTATCACAACCACTCAAAAAGGGTCTTTTCTTTTCTCTCAAAAAAATAAAATAAAAAATTATTCCTAAAAAATTAAAAGACACTCGGTTCAAAGGGACTATCCTCAAGAAAAAGAACCGAAAACAAAAGCCAAGGAACCCATTCTAAAGAAATAAAAAGACTCAATAAAACAATAAAAAACTAGGAATTTATTCCTCCACCCCACACTTAAAAAGATGCTATGTCCCCAAAGCATCAAATAAAATTTTAAAAACAAGGGTTAGAAAAACTCCCCGAGGCCTTTAGGTCTAGCTAGTAGCATGTTCTCTTTATTTTCATCAAGGGTCATACGCACCCCACACTTAGGCTCCAACGTGCTCCTTAGCTCCAAATTCTGGATACTCAGACTTCTCCAAAACCTGTAAAAAATAACACAAAAATAAAATAATAATAATAATAATAAAAGAATAAAAAAAATAAAAAGTTACACTATAAATTAGGTTCCAACCCAATAAGCGCCTAATTTAACGTCGCGGCACGACACAAATAAATTTACCACTTTTCTTTCCACTTTGAACTTATGAATTTTACCCCTAAATTTTATTACTTTGTTCTTGCATTCTTCTCTTTTGGCTCTCTTAAATAAATAATTAGATCAATATAATTTAATAAAAATTGTTAATTGACAAGTCTTTTGCGTTCGATAATCTGGTTTTCTTAAGAGTCACTATATTACTTGCGTGACCGCATACACTTGCGTGTATACTGAGGAGCAACAAGTTTTTGGCGCCGCTGCTGGGGACTTAGAAATTAACTATTCTTCTAGGTTATACCTTTTCTTTTTCTTTATTTACTCTTTCTTTTATTATTAGTTTTTTTTTTCCTTCCAACAATTGTTTTTTTTCTCTTTCTTTAAATAATTTGGTACTCTTATTGATATGGATGATTGGGTGATGAAAGTCCTTTATGTCATATATGTGGTCGTCAGTATATTCATTGGAATGATTATCCTAAAACTTATTCCCTTCCCACAAACCCCTATTATGATTCTTCTGTTATTTGTGATGTTGGTAGGGGCTATGAAACAGAGAATACAAAACAAGAGGCGCTTGAATGTACATACATGTTGGACAAGGTTAATTCAAAAATCACCGGAGAAATACTTGAATGCACAGAAGGGTACAAAGTTATTGTGGAACTACAATATAAGCTTGATGTTCTTCAATCAAAAATTACAATCCAAGCTGAATTAGAAGAGATTGGGGCCCAACAAGGAGAAAGTTATGGAGAAAAAGAGATAGTGAGCGAATATTGGATATATGAACGAATTCAACTTCTAAAGATTGAAGAGTCTATCCGTGATGAAATAATATACTTGGCACCCTACCTGATCGAAAAAAGAGTTACACTCACACAAGAAATCGATCAATTTGGCTCAGATATTCATGACTTAGAGGCTCACTTGAACAAAAAGTTTGAGGCGTCTGAAGCCCAATTACCAATTGTTGTGGATTATGACCAACTAGTGGAGCAAAAAGAGGAATTCCAACCATTCAACTATATTTTATTCCTTAATATTGATGTTGAAAAAGAGTACAAAAGTGAGAATGTTATAAATAGTGCTGCTTTAGAATTAAGGGAACTTGAATCTCATTCAAAACACTTTTCTATAAAATCTGAACTAATGGATGAGTGTATTGATGAGGAACAAGGTCCCTACATTCTAAAGTTTTTAGTCCACGTAGACAAAATGACATTCCTCACTTAAGGGCCAAGAAGTGCAAGATGCGACATATATTACTTGGTTCCTTTATCTTTATACCACCACCCCTTGAGAGGAACAGAAAAATTAATGAAAATCTCAAGGTTGCAGCATGTATTGTATTTCATGTATCATATTTTTTGCTTAAAACTAATTTTAGTTGTCAAGTTACTGGTTTATAGGATTGATAGTATGGTCCGGGTGGTTCGCCTCTCGCCGCCTACCCCAGTCAGCCATCTAACTGACGAGCATTTATATTTCATCCTATTTCTTAACCAAGCAAGGTGTTCGTCTGGGCATCACTCCTGAACACTAATCACCTCAATCTATTCTCTGGTCTATCTAATCCCTCCTCGTTCGATTTTAAGATTAGACACTAGATTTATTTTATGGTGATCAAGCACAAAATTCTAAAACAAGAATATAAAAGTAACTTATAATGACAACCAAGAATTAATCAAAAACCTTAAATAATCAACATTGAATCCGTAGCTACAGACCCAGAACAAGAACTTTAGCTACTAATGTCTAGGAAAACAAGAAGAAGAAAAGAACCCTAAAAAGTATTGACGACTTTTCTCTTCAAAAGTGCCTCCTCCTTCCTCTCATTGATTTTTATGGACTATTTATAGATATAGAAAACCCTAAATAAAATAATTGAGTCCAATACAAATTAGGAGTTCAAAACCATAAAGGAGTTGAATTCCTTTTTATTTTCGGCGTGAACCAGTGCTCCATCGCCTTCAACATGCTGTTGCGGCTCTTCAGTTACTGTCACGTGGAATTTTCCAATTCCAATTCCAATTCTACTTCAACTAACATATATATTATTTTATAAAATTTAATCCATTAAGCTGTTTGTTTGAGTTTCTTCTTCAACTTTCCATATTTAATTCGTTTTAGCTTCAAACTTCTTCAACTTTACACCAATTTACTCCTACAAATAAAATATACTATTTTAGCACAATTCATAAAATTCATGCTCAAAAATGACAAATATAAATAATAAATATGAGGCAAAATAATAATTTAAAAATATATATTTTTTGGCCTCACATCAACACCCCACACTTAAACTTTTCAAAAAACTTGTTGCTACCCCAGTATACACGCATGTGTACGCGGTCGCGCAAGTAATATAGTGGCTCTTAAGAGAACCAGATTATCGAACCCAAAGGACTTGTCAATTAACTATTTTTATTAAATTATACTGATCTAATTATTTATTTAAGAGAGCCAAAAGAGAAGAATGCAAGAACAAAGTAATAAAATTACTTACAATAGTTGGAAAATCTCAGGGCTGGAACATGAATTGGATTTCATGTATCATATTTTTTGCTTAGAACTAATTTCAGTTGTCAAGTTACTGGTTTTTAGGGTTGATAGTATGGTCCGGGTGGTTCTCCTCTCGCCGCCTACCCCAGTCAGCCATCTAACTACATCATTGAGCGGGGATAGATAAACTAACTGGCGAGCATTTATATTTTATCCTATTTCTTAACCAAGCAAGGTGTTCATCTGGGCGTCACTCCTGAACACTAATCACCTCAATCTAATGGGTGGACCGAGCTC